ATTCCTGTGCCACTACAGTGCCGAAAAAATCTGAAGAAAACTCTCGGTAATCGAGTACATACTTAATGTCCTACTGATATAGTTGAAGAATAATCAAACTCATTGGGCAATATTTTTAAAGAAAACGAACAACCCAGTTTATAAGCGAATATATTTTAACACTAAACAAATCCCCAAAATTAATGGTTCTGTAAGTCTTCAACATCCGATGCTGACTGCATTAGTTTTATGTGGCACATCTAGTTGAAGGCAATCGGTCATGCATCGACACCAGATCATGAATAGATACATCGTACTACTTATCTACAAACATTAGCTAGCTCAGACCAAACGCTTCTTGAGATATCGATAGCCCTTCAAATGTAACTAGAAACCTCTTCTCTTCTGATTTGACTACGTTGGCATATTTAAATCACAAAGGTGTTATTAGTAAAGGCGTTGTCAAACTCCGAATATATCATTAAAGTGATCACAAAGGTTAGAATAGACGACATACAGATAGTGAATAGAAAATACCATTCATGCGCCACAATTCAGAGATGATGCAGTAAGTGAAATTTTAACCCAGAGATTACGTAGAACAATTCAAGGAATATTGTACACGTTCAAACCATGCTTCTAATAGTGAAAACGAACCTAAGAGACGAACTACCTGGAATGACCACTTCTTTCTACATTTATTATTTTGAATGCTCTTATCGAGCAAAATTTACCGGTTGAAGCTCTGGAATTTTGCATTTTGCGTCCGTTAACACCTCTCAAAGTGGCCAAGCAAAGGTGTAATGAAAACAGAGAAGAGATCAATACAGGCATATATACTCCAAACTGCTCACAGTGCCAGTGTAAGTCAATCTTTCTCAACAATTTATCGGGTTAGTAATTTTTTGATGAAATCGGTCTTACTCAAAGTTCTTTAAATGGCAGCGCTATAGTCCTCAATTATAAAAAAGACTCACCAACCATTATTTCATTTTTGCGTGGTAAATCGCACCTGGAACGGATAATTCAGCTACATATATTGTATAGATTTTGTAATATGGAGTCTCATTTCCTAGAGTACTAACGTTAAAACCCCACCACGTTGGGTCGCACCATTTAACTTAATTACTCACTTAGTTTAACCTACTGCCCATGATTAGAATAGACAAACAACCAGGGCACTCCAACTAAAACTGTTCTGGGGCTCCCATTTCAATTTTTCCCAAATGCTATTCATTCTGTATAGGTCTGCCCCAAGGCCACGTCCTCATGTGTTCTTCGGTTCGCCTCTTTTCATTTCGCATTCACTAGTACAAATAAGCTCATTTTGATGATGACCACTATGCACTCAGTGGTCGCCTCACGACGGCATGACAGTTATCTTGTTGATTATGGGAGGGGTTTCTTGGTTTATGATACTTTTCTTATTAGTCAATGAACCCTAAATATAGAATACTAGGTTCTACCGAAGAGACTCATTGATGAATAAAATTTAAAACTATCTCCTTGAGCATTAAAAGAATTTATACAGACATCCTATCTACTTTCAGATAGTCAGATAAAATTGCCATCAATATCATCTTTTGAAATAAATTTCTTCTGCTTCATTGGTATTTCAGGGACTTTGAGTACAGCACTTCAGGTATTCCGAGTTGCTCTTGCTCAATAACCCAAGAACATTTCTGGTTGTTCTTCTTCCAACTCGTCTCAAGAGAGCAGTACCACTCTTCAGGTAGAGGTGTTACATCCAACCCGTACGACTTGTTTGCTCCATAGCCCCCAGTTGAATGCTAGACACTCGTCTTTTCCCACCAGTGAATTAAAAACACAATAGTTAGTTTGGATAAGGCTCACAAAGACTATAAAAGTGAATGATACAACCGAAAAACCTATTCAATAAATAGTGTAAGGACTGAATAAATCACCCACCTGGTGAACGGCATGGAAAACTCTAACAATCTGGAACGGGTATTTTCACTGTCATACGATAGTTTAATTTCAATTAGACCAAGCAAAAATCACTCAAACTCAGGGAACAAATATGAAGGTTATTAAAACGAAAGTAACACAGTTCGTAACGAATGTACGATAAGCTGATACGTGTTATGTCTTTGGTCTACCTACAAAAAAGAAGTTCTCTCAATCACGTTTAATGCATTGACACGGTAATCTAACCGATGAACATAGCGGACATTGTAGTATCTAACCAGGTGAGTGTGTAGAATTATGGTCTACTATGTTATTAGTACTGCTCTAATAATAGACCTAATCCTAAAATTATAGATCTATCATGATATAACTGCCTAACCTATAAGATCTTACGTGGAAGTTACATCTTCGTCTACACCCACTCATTGAATTGTAACATTTACCAATACATGATGGAGAACAAGCTTAGGCTAGAGATAGAACAATATGCTTAATACGTATAAAGGATATAAGATAACATTCATCAGGGACCACGCCTGCATGGCCGAGCCATGTCATACGATAAACCCTGATTAATTCAATTCATTGTTCCCGCCTTCTCCATCCTTGGGTATTTCTCCGCGTTAAAATGTTGAATGTCTGTTTCCCGTATTGTCCCGTGTTAGAGCCCAATGCCACTACAAGTGTGTTGGGAACGATAAATTCCTCAAAAACTCACATTATAATTTTATCGATTAACTTATCGATTAAATGTTTAAATATTTGAATAGCAATCAATTGACGAACTTATTGACGAATGTTAAAAAAGTTAAATGACAATATCGATCATATATATTTGTATATATATGTTTTAAATTGTTTTGGTTGAATGACTCATTTCTGGTGGTTGCAGAATATACTTCTCATTTCAAGCCTGGACTTCTTCCTCTAGATAGCTGGGGCTGGGACGCGTCAATAGTTAGCTTACTGGTCTTGGTCATCGAATCTTGTTCTCGTTCACAATCTAAGTGAACTCGTTTAGCTTCAAACCATAACAAAGTGTCCGTCTTAAAACCATAGGGTTCCAAACCCCATCGCTGAAATCTCACGGCGGTGGGCCATGGTCTTAAGATCATGGCTCATTGTCACCTTAGTATTATTGTGAGACCGAACCACGGGTACAGGCACTTCTCTAATGTTGTACCTTTTTAACTTTAAATCCTCAAAGGCACACTTGGCCGCGTTGATCTGCATCATCCACAAGTTAATCACAACATCCAAGTCTGCCTGAAGTGCGTATGCAAATGCGTCTCCTGTTATTTCTCGCCAGAATTTTATACCATCAGCTTATAGTAACATTGCGGACTCAACAATACTTGGGATATAGCAACTCGTGTGCGATTAACTTTGCTCTCATTTAATCTGGCTAAGTCCTTTTATTAACTTAATTAACGGACTGGGTCATCCGTACAGTAACAACTTATCTATATCATCATACCTTTATTATTGTTGAGATTGCATGAATATGTATGCTTGAGCATTGCTTACTACATATGCATATATTCATTCTGCTAGCTTTACTATCAGTCGCTTAATTGATTTGACGATTCATTCATTTCCTTATATATACATGTACATTTAATCCAATGCTGCATCCTTGTTCTGTAATTTATGTACGAGAATAGTCTTTTAGGTTCCTTGATTACAGATTGCGCCGACTGAATTTCATATTTTCTCTGAGCCTCCCGGATTTTAATAATACATTTGTTTCTTACCGACCGGTAGCGTCTCATGGTACTTGCAGTGTCAATGCTGATGGAAACGTTTCAACATTACTACTTTTGTCTTAGTAAACGTCGAATATCCCGGTCTATTCAGGGATGGCCGTGCGTCTTCTTCTTTGGGACAGTCCAGAGTATATATTGTTGATTTACCTGATTGTATAACTGCCTGAGATGTGTCCACAGTACTTCTACTGATGCCCCTGAGTTAATCACCCAGTTTTCAGCCTATGATGCAGAGTTTATCGCTTCCATGTTTGCCTTACATATATTAGGACGATCCGGAGAAACTTTTTGGCAGGCCATCTCAGCCACAAACCTGAATAAGACGACTGCATGATCGCTTTTCCTTAGAGGTGAGACGAATGTCATTTGACCAACGTCATCACCGTGTGTGAATACTAAATCCAAGAGAGATGAAGAGCTTCGTGAGTCATATCTAGTGGGAACTCTAATGTGTTGGAATAGTGCAGTTGTGGTCTGTAACAGTTTCTAATTAAATAACGTTGTCGATTTCATTACTTCTAAGTTTCCCCAGTTTACATACGGTCATTAAAGTCGTCTACTATAAGGCTTTTATCCCTACTACACTAGGACTTAAGTTTCCTTAGGAAGAAGTCATCTATTATACATTCTGAACTGCGATATACGATATGTAATTGAATATCTTGCCGTCTACATTCTAGCTTGCAACGCATCAGTTCATATGTCTCCAAACTATCTGCCACAATCTCAACAGCTCGAACGGTTAAGGTACTATCTGTGTACAGGATGCACGTCTCCTTATTTCTGTTTCATTGTTAAATTTACTGCTCAGGTCAACACGATAATTAGCGTATATTCATTAGTTTTGTCACTTATTATCTTTGTTTACTTGTTACATTTACGCTTGCTTACCTATACTCCATAAGCGATTTATTAATTTAATTCTGACCTTGGTCTTCTCTCAGCTCTTGTACTTTGTAACTCGAAGGATTATATATTACGAGCAACCGATTTCCTGCTGATAACTGTGACGGCTCCTGGTTGCAGAAATTATTTTATTATGGGACAAAGTTATTCACACAGATTTTAAGATGCACATACCTACAAATAACTGCTCAAGTCAATAGAACAAGTACAGTCGGACAGCTAGATTAGAAGCCACAGAAATTATGCCATAAAATCAAGAAGTAAGTGCACAAAAGTTATCTGTATTACATAAGCCTGACAGCATGACATTAGGTATTGGACAATTGAAAGTATTGTTAAACGGTTTTGTTTGTTCAAGTTTGCGCATTAACTCGTGAGTGCTTGCTGTAACTGCGTTTCGAGAATCTGCTATTTGGCGTCATGGTTAGTTTCTTGTTCTGTTAACTATGTTAAAAGGCTGCTCGTGCATTTAAAAAGTTTGCCCCTCTTTATGACCGTGTTTTGGTACAACGTTTTGAAGCTGAAACCAGAAGTAAAGGTGGGATCATGATACCGGAGAAAGCTAAAGGCAAGGTTCTTGAAGCAACTGTGGTTGCACATGGTCCTGGATCGAGAAATGAAGTAAGTTACTTTTTATTTATTTTACTTTCTGTAGAAAGGTGAAGTTGTTCCTGTGTGTGTCAATGTTGGTGACAAAGTTTTCCTTCCTGAATACGGTGGTACTAAAGTCGTATTGGACGAAAATGTAAGTGCAGTTTAACTTGAGTATAATGCTTGCAGGAGTATTTCCTATTCCGAGAAACTGACATTTTGGCCAAGTTCGAAAATTGACCGGTGTTTTAGATCTAGTCCTCACACCTTTGTACACTGATTATTCAAATACCATAGTTTTTCATTTATCATAAGTCTTTTCGTACATCGTATTTGGGTTATGGCAGTATGTCGCTTATCGTAAACACAATTCGTGTAGTTGATCAAGGCTTACGTTTCTTGGAGTAATTTACGTGGTTATTGGAGAGGTTCAAGACTAATCGCTGAGGTTTAGATATTGCGTATACTGTATTCTAATTTCAAGCATATCGCTTTAAGAGCATCCGGCTGTATCTAGGTGTTACATACGATACACAAGCATCTTTATATTTTTATCATTAATGCAATGGTGGTTTCGGATGTTAGTAACTCCACATCCATATGTTGGACATACGCGTCACGAGACGTAAGGTTTATTCTCGAAGTGTTGGTGGTAGGATAGGCGTTTACCTACATATGCTTATTGTTTATGCAATCAATGCAGTGTGTTGTGTTGGTTTGTACAGGATTGCGCAGAACGTGTGTTCACCCTCTGATGTTTGCTGCTGGTCTCAACTGTCTGCGTTAATATCTTCATGTCACCATGTACAATTTTATGAGTTAAAATGCTTGGAGCTTTCAGAGTTACGTTTGGTCTGTAGCTATAGTCCTACATCCACTGGAAGGTTACTGTTCAGGCTGCTGCTATGTAATTTTGATTCAGTAGGTTGTTGAGATGCTTTTGATTGCTCATTGTCAGCCTCCTATCGAGGTTTTGCGGCAGCCAGATCAGCGTTCTAGTTGTTGGCAGTCTTGAATTTGTGTTTTATTCTGTTATTGGTCGTCCACAACCAATATGACGTTTTCGTCTAGTGACCAATATCCTTACTCGGGTTTATCACATACAATCAGTGATGTGAGTGGCTGTAGTTGGTTACACAGTCTTGTACTTCTAGTGGGGTATTTAGTTGGTAGTTTTTAAAATATGGTATACAGTAATGTTTCTCATCAAGCATAGACGTATTCCAAGCACCTATAATTTTGTTCACCCGTCAGTGGTCAGCTTTCAGTCAGTCTACAGCAACGTAAGACCGTCACTCTATGTGCATCGAGCTAACTTACTGTATCACGAGAAAGCCAGATGGACATCAGGATGATTAGTGTGGTAATGCTATTGATATTAAGGAAAGATTAGACAAACAATGTAACTCGTACAAGAATAGTGAATTCACAGAATATAATGGTGATCATAAGGAAAGGAAATGAATGCACTTGGGTCGTTAGAGTGATTCTGAGGTATGTCACCTGACTACTGATCAGGACGATCACACATGCTCCAATCAGGTTGTATTGTACTTAAGGAATTTTATGGACTTACTTTCTTGGTCTGGCTATCCGTAGCTTTCTTCCAACCTGCTACAGTCTGTGTAAACTGTATTAAGTATGGTCAAAAATGTGGCGCTTCAGTTTTACAATCCAACTAGTCATATCTGGTCTCTTTTAAGAAGCGCTACATGGAGTTAATTCACTCCATATTATCATTTTGAGACTTAACACTAATTTCATAAATGTAATGTCTGACGAATATTGTTCGTAGGGAATATACATGGAGTAAATCAATTTCTAGGTGACCAATGCTATAGTAATGATGTAAACTACGATCCATAACTCCGAGTTCTTCAGTTTTAAAATTTCCTGAGGGATACTTGTAAAATAAGTGCCTAATTTTGTCATATAAGAATCATCAAGATAATTATATATGACGCTAAGTGTCATATTTGATATTAAAAACTGATCTTAGACGACCATTTGAAAATAGGAAGCACTGAATATCAGTTTCATCTTAGTATGGGACCTATCAGCAGTGTGCGTCTACAACCCTACCATAGACATTTTTTACGTCATAAGTACGAACTTCTACCCAATTTTCACAAATACATAAAATAATAGCTGAATTGTAGTTTTGTCTTCGAATGTTCCTAATTATTATCATTAGTATTAACAGTGTAGATTAACGAATAAAATTATACTGAGATCTTAATTTCTTCTGACAGGAATAAACGCATAGTAAAAACCAAGTTCTACATCACATCTTAATCTGAAATATAAACTATCATCCATGGCTACTTTTGTCGTTTCTGTACAACTTACAGTATAACTCAGCTGTGAAGCATTTCTGTGTCTGTGCTACTTGACTGCTCAAACATCAATAGTTAAGATAGGTACGAACTCGCAATTCATTGGTTGATAATCGTGTGATACCCTTCAATCATTTTTACATATGACATAAATATCAAGTGAAAAATGTTGGTTGACAGATAGTGTATGTTAAAACATGGAGGTTTGTCGTTGGTTTAAGAGAAATGTGTATGTATAGTCACCATATAGTTTAATACCAAAATATCGAATTTAAAATGGTCATTTTATGAAGTGGCATCAATCCATAAAATCATTGGTTGACTTGTTGTCATGAGGCTAAAAAGCGATTTAGATGATTTGATATAATTATTTACCATAATGAATTTGAAACATTGGCACAAAGAGGCACTGAATACATATGCGCCACATTTCATCATTCGATTTGTGTGAGGACTGGGATACTGTCCGGGTTCCCAAACCGAAGCAGGTAGTTCCCTTAGGGAATCATTCCCTGAGCTTTTGACGTAGAGTTCTAATCCACAAGGCAGTGGAGCATCGTAAGGCGATGCAGTCCCATGGTAGCTGGTGACCATCAATATGTTCATACGGTATTTGTCCCTTCAGGATCCTGGAGCTCATAAGAGTTTTACGACTCCCCTAGGTAAATTCTCTGTATCCAACCGACGCGGTTGAAGCACCAGACATTTGCTTTTTGTCCTCAACGTTGTGAACAACAATCCCTTCACTGGAAGGTATTTAGTAGGACTTCCCTGGGAGTGGCTGTATATGTGTGATCATGTGAGAGTATTTCGAGTGGAAGAGCGAATTCTCCCAAGCCGTAGGATAATATGATCTTATTTTTATTTAATGGGTTCTGACTAATTACTTTTGACCATGTTCTTATTGAACTAAATTAAGAAGTTTCAGTTTATTGTGCGTTATATGTTGTAAATATTCAGTATTTTGATCAATCTGTTTTCAATTTTTACGAATAAAAAGAATGGGAATGCTTTGAACAGTTAATGGTGACCACTACTTTCAATTTGTTGTGTAATATTCCATAGTACCTACATAAACTAATAACATTTACTGTATTTACTAGTGTATTTACATTTTTTCAAATCTTGCAATAGTTATTTCAAGTATTTTTCGCCCTACTTGAATCTCAGCGTAAAGAGAACAGCTTCCATATTCCTGTACTCTTAGTTTCCACTTCGATTATTAATAGTTATTATTGATATAATACATAGATACTGAACTCCACCTGGAGTCCCTCGGGGGGCTACTGCCGGTCTCAAGCCCGGATAAAGGAGGAGGGTTGGGCATGGGGTTAGCGACCCTATCCCGTAGAAAACTACCTCGCTAAAAAAATGTAAGTAAATAAGGACATAGATACCGACTTTCATTTACATTATCGTATGTTGTGATTCATCTTAATATTATCAAGACAGGAATTACTTATCTTTCCAGACACGTAGACAATTTGTTTGCCTCAGAGGTTTGTAAGTAATTTATCCATGTTCCTTATTAACAGAATTGTTCGTTAGATAGATCGTTCTTTCTAAACCTCGATTTCATGCGTATTTTAATCATGTAGTTAGATGTTTCTATAGAATTAACAAATTTTCTAAATTGCAATCATGCAAAAAACATATTCTGGAAATTAAATAAAATGTTTTGTAGAAGAATGACCCAAGCAACCAATAAAGGGGAAATGCGCAAAAAATGTCTGGTTTTTTGTCTGTCTGGAGGAAATAATTCTGATTTTCTCCTTTATGTCTTTTTGTGTTTTAAATATCGGTGAATTGTCTACTTTTTGTAAACTTGGAAACTTACGAATAAACTTATCAACGAAATACTATTTGGGATTTGCTTGGAATTTTATGTAGTACATCTCATAACAGTTGAAATGACTTATTATTCGCTTAGAATATTTAATTTATAATACGAATGAATTCCAATGATCTATATGCATTGAATATAGGTCTTTCTAATAACAAATTAGAAGATTATTATTAAAATGTGGGGTTTATAGAGATTGTAATAATTTTCAGTAATTGAATTGATGAATCGAGTCCCGTGTGCGAGATCGTGAATGCGCACTGATGGGATATCCCATACTAGTGTAGCGTTGTGTCGAGTTGAGCTTGACTATGAACACCGCTACAAAACTACGTGCCAATAGATCAATAAGATTCCGGTAGGCCAAAAATCAGATGGCAGATGTTGGCTGTAGTCGAGATGTATTTGTTGGCGATCTCGTGGTATCGAAAGAATACCGAGATCGTGCCAAAGGAGTACAAGCGTGGTTACTGAGCGTAACCGAATTCGTACAAGTTCAAAGTCAACGGGAGAGTAAGTATAATGGCTGTCATTAACACAGTTAAACAAACGAGCACAGTAAAACAGTCACTGGTACAATTGGTTATAATAATAATTGTTTTCATCGAACCAATCGCGTTCTGTTGACAAAAGTAGGTCACTACACTAGAATGAAACATCTGTCAAGTACTTCCAGGTTTTCGATGATGGCTTAGCTTAAATCAACTCATGAATTCAATTATTAAAAAGTTAGATGTTAGTGTTATGATTTTAATGGCTTGGCGACAAAATCTCATAAGTCTGATTAAATTTAATAGATAGACAGACAGAAAAACAACTCCAAGGCAAAAAATATGGAACGTAATTATTTATTGACATTTATCAACAATACAATAAGTTTGTTCGATCTATAAATGATATATCTTGTTGTTTGAACGCTACTTGATGTATCTGGTCGTCGCTGATTATTGTGTCGGGAATACTTAACACTTATACCCGAAACGACGGACGTCTGCGATTCCCACAACGTGAAAGTAAGAACACAAAAAAAAACTGGTATAAGTGATAATTTATTAAACCCC